GGCATGTGCTCGACGATGTACTGCTGGACCTTGACGGCGACGACGTGCTTGTGCTCGAAGATGGGTCTCCAGTGAGCGCGAAGAGCATCCACCATCGCACAGCTCTATCTGGCTACCCCTGGACGGCCCTCGGGACCGGTGGTTTTGATTCCCTGGAGGACCAGGCGGCGCTTCCAAGGGGCCCAAAGTAGGGCCCTGCGCAGGGAAGATCGGGTGATCTTCTTGAGCTTCTTGGGATCGACGGCCCCTGGGGAGCCCCGCGGCAGCTGGGCTGCACGTTGTGCCAGAGAGCGCTGCCGAGCCTCGAAGTCACGGTGCAGCGCGGCAGACTTCATGGCGAACTCGGCAACATCCGTGAGCGCGATGTGTCCGTCGTCGATGATGAGGAACTTGGCGCCAAACTCGGTGGAGGATTGCAAACGTCGTGCAAGGCGAACGTCCTGGCGCCAGACCGCCCCAGGATGGCTAAACCCGCCGCGTGGCCGCCGCTGTGTCCGCGAAGAGCGCCTGAAACGACGTAAGGATTGCGCCGCGCTCGAGGTCGCGGAAGGTGGCGAGCTCGAAAGCCTTCTCGTTCCACTGCGGGATGGCGGGGTCGGCTTGTCCCTTGACGTCGAGGCGCACGACGGGCGTGGCGTTGCAGTGGATCTCGCCCTTGGCTCGGTATGCTCTCCATGACTTTTGATGATGACGGTGTTGAAGAAGCTGGAGGAGTTTCTTGAATTGGATCTCGGTGCGAATCTGCTTTGGCGACTTGTCGGGGTTGAGGTAGATGTCAGTTGGCGTGCCCGAGGTGTCGATGGAGGTGAAGCGCTTCCATTTGCCTCCAGCGTCGCGTTGGGCTCGCGTGAGCGCCAATGCGCGCGGGATGGCCACGTCGCGCCCACCTTTGACTTGTAGCACAAATCTGCGCGCAGGTTCGTTTCCGCGAAGTTCGACGGCGTCGGAGCCCAGGTTGGCGGAGGCGATCCACTCCTGCAGGTCGTTGAGGAGCGCGTCAGGCGCGATGAGCCGCTGCGCCCCGATGGTGAAGATCGTGGGGTCGATCTCGCGGTCCAAGTCGGCGAGCCTGGTGAGGTCCGCGATCGGCGCCTGGGCCTCGGCGAGCGCGAGGGTTTCTCGCATCTGGTCGATCTGCCGCCACACCTGTTTCTGTTCATCTGCTTGACGGTCTTGTTCTCTACGAGTGCGGGCGACGACGTCATGAAGGGTGTCGACTCGTCGTTCGGTAGCTTGGACTTGCTGTGCGAGAAGTTGGCGAAAGCTTTCGCGTGAATCATTGAGCAGTTGGTTGGCTTGAGCTTGGAAAGTACCGGCGGCGTGTGCGACTTGAGCTTGCATGAGATCTTGAAGAGCTTTGTCGAGTTCTGGGTCCAGACCTGGGAGGCGAACGGGTTCGCCTGGCGTGGCAGTTTCGGCGTCGGCGGCGGCTCCGACGGCGGCAGCTCCACCAGCGGCTGCTGCTCCACCAGCACGCCATGGGTCAGCAGCAGCGAGAGGGTCATGGCGTAGTGCTTCACCTGGTAGTTGCGACGGCGGCTCGGACCATTCACCAGCTTGAAATTGGCGTGCAATGGCGGCGACGGCGGCACGTGCTGGGTCAGCAGCTTCTTCTTCTCCAGTGTCCATGGCGAAGTGGGGCGGCTGCTGGTGTGCTCGAGCTGAAGAGCGACAAGAGCGAGCGGCGTGTCCAGATGCGCGCCCAGGGCGTGGCGCTGCCTGAATAGCGAGGCCAGCGTCGCCGAGAGAGTCCAGGGTGGCACGCCCTGCGGCTGCTCGACCATTTTTATCAGCACGGTCTGGGTGACCTCGAGCAGCGCGATCTTGGTCGTGTCGTTCACGTTCTCGTCGGCGGTCTTTCCTTCTGCGGCTAGCAGATGGGGCACTGCGGGAGGTAGAGCGTTCTTCGCTGGAAGATGACACGGCTGAGACTGTGGGCTGCTGTCGAACAGGCTGCTGTTCAGCTTCAGGAAGTTGAGGGCGAGAGCGCCAGACTCCAGGGCCTTCGCGGCGCCACCACGTGGCAGCTGCAGCTGCTGGGGAACGAGCGAGTCGACGTCCAGCGGGTTATGGGGGTGGGCGACGGCGACTTCAGTCAGGCCGAAGTCCAGCTGGTGCACGGCGACGGAAGTCGGGGCGCACGACAGCGCGATATGAATGGCAGCCTGCAATGCCAGTACAATGAGCAGGACTGGGCGGCCGCAAGCCCCTGAAAGTGGCGGCAGAACGCTTGGGTGCCAGCTCACCCCTGATGGTGGCTGGAAACAGCTGGGGCCTGGCCTCGGCTCAGAGGTCTCCATGCGGCCGCAACGCGACATGGTGACTTGAGCCAAAATGGCTACGGAAGGAGGAGGAGGAGTAGGAGTAGGAGTAGGAGGAGGAGGAGGAGGAGGAGGAGGAGGAGGAGGAGGGGGAGGAGGAGGGGGAAAGCACTCTGGGTCCCCAGACGCCCCTGCACTCGTGGAGGAGATAGCATCTGTGTCGACGGTTGTAAAGCATCTGCGCTGAAAGGCACCCCGCCGCCGCGCTCGATCCTGAGATCCATCGCGCCCAGCTCTCTCGGGGAGGCGGGCGGGGTCGCGATGGGCGCGTGGGCAGTGTCGGCATCGGACGAGTCTGCAGGCGCAGGCCTCGGAGAGCTCGGATGTGAGCTCTCCGGCGGAGAAGTAGAGCCCGACAATACTGAGGCGATATATATATATATATATATATATATATACATATTTATACATATATATATATATATATAGAAGCTCAGCCTGAGCAGGGCGGCCCGCTCGCTGTCATCAGCACCCAGCGGCGAGGCCGTCATCGTCGCCTCCGAAAGGCGAGCCTCGTTCTGCACGTGGTGCGCGGCGGCCATCGCGGCGAAGGTGTCGATGGGGCGGCTGCCGCGAGCCCCGGCGCGCTGGCCAGTCCCACGGAAACGGTCTAGCAAGAGCGCCCACGGGCGCGATGCAGGACGCGGCCACGTTCGCAATCACATAGGGAATCGAATTGGCCCACGTGCCAGAAGACGCAGCACCTCTGGCCGTGCGGGGATCTGAGACGAGCCGATGTCACTCGGCCGCCCGGCCACGTCCGCACCGCGGCACGCGCCCATGAACATGGGCAGCGCCGAAACGCCGCCTGGCAAGCCTACCAGTCGATGGCGGGGAGGAGGGGCTCGAAGCGGACCGCGGACTTGCGGAGCCGCGCCTCGAAGGTGGCGGCGGTCGGCGACGCCCTCGTGGCGGCAGCCCGCAGAGCGGCATGAGCAGCGCGCTGTGGGCGAGGGCGGCCTGGGAGCACGGCGCGCAGCGCGTCGGCTGCGGCAGCAGCAGCCCGCGCCCCCGGAGCAGCGGGCGGCCCCGGCGGAGGGCGGCCAGCCGCGGGGATCTCCGAGTTCTCCACGAAGGCGGGCAAGAGCCAGAAGGGCGGGCAGGACTCACCCGAGGCCAGCGTGTCAAGGGTGGCCCCGGTGCCGTCGACAGCCCGGTGCCGGCGGAGCTGCTGGAGCCACTCCGCCCACCTCGGGATGGCAAGGCAGCGGCGCGCGTGATGGTGGCGATCGCCGGGTGGCCCCAGCGGGTGCACCGCGGGCCGCCCCACTCCTTCGACTGGATCCAGGCGCCGAGCGAGCAGGTCCCGAGCGGCGGGCGGAATGCCTGGGCTAGCACGGCAAGCTCAGGCAGGAGAGCGGCTGCTGGTGGCCAACAGGACGGCGCCACGTGCGAGATCGCGGAGACTGCGCGCGCGTCGTGCAAGATCGCGGAGAGGCCTGTTGGCGTGGTTCCGGCGCCAACAGTTTGCGCCCGAAGACGCGGCTCGGCTACGGGGCCCTTCCGGCGCACGCCGGGAACAACCCGGGGTCCCAACCATGGGACAAGGTATAGCAACATCGGCGCGATTTCGAACGCGCTCCAGTCGGGGATCTCCGCAGAAATTACGTCGGCCACCTGCTGGGCGAGAGCGGACCACTGAGGGGGACAAACTTGCATTTCGTGACTTTGAAGATCCAGCTGGCCCTCTTTCGGGGGCGGCCAAGAGGGGGGCGTCCAAGAGGGGGGGCGCAAATCATGACAGGCGGCTTGTGCGCGGCCCAGGCGGGGGGGGGGCTCGGGACGTAGTGAAATAAGAAGAGGCGCCATGAAACCCGAGGAAATATCATGGCCCACGCCATGATGTGCCCCCCCCTAGTCATCATCCCCCTCTTGGCCGCCCCCGAATCTTGGAGGCCAACTGCGTCGCTGGGGAATCTTGGAGGCTAGATGCGAATGAGCTCCTGGGCAAGCTTTAAAGTCGGGCCTGTCCCTCTACAGGGGGAATACTCAAAAATAGTCAAAAAATAGTCAGGGGACGATTTTTGTAATAGCATGCTTTGACTGTTTTGGTGTTATTTCTTTTGCGCATTTTTGATTTTTCGCGCAAGACCCGCCTCCAGGCGGGTTTTGCGCGACCGAGGGGGACACGCCCGACCTGTAGGGCAAGCTTCGGAATGCCCCCCGCGTCGTCCGCGCAGGCCCGAGCCGGGCCAGGCCCCCGAGGCCTCGGCCCGCGAGGCCTGGTCCATACCTAGAAGACCGCTGTGCCCAAGGCGCGCACCGGGGGGAACAACAGGGGAGGAGGAGGGGGAGAAGGAGGGGGAGGAGGACGAGGAGGAGGAGGAGGAGGAGGAGGAGGAGGAGGAGGAGGATAGCAAAGGGTAGGGTAGGGAATCAGCTCACGCAGCTGATTTTCACAGCGCGTCCTGGCGCCGGGAGGCGCCCATGTATCGAGGAATGGGCCCGGCGGCGGGGGGGCCGAAGCCAGCTGCATGCAGCAGATTTCGTACCCCCCCAATTCCCTATCCCCCCCTTTCGTTCGGCCCGATGGATGATGCCGCCCCGAATCCAGAAGATACGATGGAGGAGGCCCAGGCGGGCCACGACGCCCTCGACCGACGAGCGCAGGGAGGAGATGTGGACGACGAGCGCGTCGGGCAAGCCCGCGAGACGGATGGGGGAGGGGGAAGTATTGCTTCGGCGACGGGAAGGCCTGGCCGAAGTCCAAGGACCAGGGCGCAGGAGGCGCAACCGATAGGACCCAGCGAAACGCGCCAACTCTAGGATGACGATGCTCATCGCGGCATCGCGCCAGCTTCGGCGCCCCCCCCACACGGACCGCAACCACCCCCGCCCGCACAGGGAGCTCCGCCTGTGGCCCCGCGCACGCCTCGGCCCACCCCTCGCGCAGCTCGTGCGCCATTGGGGCGCTCCACCCGTGGCCCCGGCAGAGGAGCTCGCATGGTGTCGCCGGCGCCCCTGCGGGAGATCAGCCCGCCTCTGCGCGCTCGCTCCGCAGCGCTCTGCCCCGCACTCAATGCCAGCGACGTGCGGTAGATGTGAGGAGAGGGCCGCGCACGCCACTGCGCTCAGCTGCACGGGGACGGGCCCTCCGACAGGCTGGCTCACAGAAGCGTTTGTGTTGGGCTCTTCCCTTGCCCCGAGGGCGCACACTTTGCCTGACCTTGTGGGCAATCTGCACGCGCATAGGTGCGTTGTCCGTTGAGCTACTGTGTGTCACACTGGGTGAACAACTCAGCGCAACCGCGTCAAAACCAACACTTCAGGCTGGAGACGCCGGCAATACGCGCGGCAAGGATCGGTCGAGGGCATACCAAAAACCGAGCGCAACAACACATAAGTTGTACGCATCGGGTGCTCTACTTTTGAGAGCGACGGCAAGTCACTATCGAAAGCGAGTTGTCGCACACGACTATCGGACCACGGGGCAGCACAGAGACAAGCGCTGGTCACCACGGAGAGCCAATGACTGGACCTCGCCCTTAAGCATCCTCCCGCTCAACGCTCACCGCCGGCGCGCTTCTGCAGGACATGCCGCCGAGGAGGCGCCAGAACAACGACCCGCCATCCCCACCACCTCCAGTGGCCACTTCGGAACCTCTCTGGGATCGAGCGGCGGACCACGTCAGGGCGGTCTCCGACCTGCTGGCGCCGGCCACCGCGACGACGCACACGCGGGTGTCCCCCTGGTCGTCGTACCGCAGGTCCAGGGGCAACTGCGTGAACTCCCTGGGCCCCTGCGCGTCGCGAGCCGCGGCCACCAGCCCGTGCATGTCCAGGTGGACCTTGCGCACGCGCGAGCCGACCGAGCACTTGTCCTGCACGCGCAGGAGCGTGCGCAGCACTGCCGGCGCGCCCACCCGCGGGTTCGAGCAGGCAGCCCTCAGGAGCTCGGGCGCGCCCCGCAGCACGAACCCCGGCCTCTCGCCCAGGCCGTCGGCGGTGAGGAGCCTCGTGAGCCTCGCCCTCTCGCGGGGGTGGAGCTCCTTGAACGCGTCGCTGACGGCGCTCTCGCTGGCCTCGCCGCCGGCGGACTCGAGGCACAGCAGCCGCGTGAGCGCCTGGTGCTCCGGCGAGGTGAAGCACGCGAGCGCCTTCGAGCCCTGGAGGAGCAGGATGTAGTTGTTGTAGGCCGCCCCCGCGTCCAGCGTCCTCAGCTGCTGCAGCGCCTCGAGCCCGGGCCGGAAGCGCTGGAACTGCGGCTCGGTCATGAACTGGGAGCCCTGGGCGTGGCGCGACCCCAGCTTGCCGCACGCCCGGGAGAAGATGCGGAAGCAGAAGAAGGCGATGCCCTCCTCGCCGTGCGGCTCCATCGAGGCCTTCACGTGCGCAAGGTTGGCGGGCACGCCCTCGGCCATCAGGAACTCGCTGAAGCGGAAGTTCACGCGCAGGCAGTCCTGGAAGACCAAACAGCGGCACAAGCATGAACGTTCGGAGGACCGTGCGGATTTCTTGGGCCAGCGGTAGGTCGGGCATGTCCCCCTACAGGCGGCTTTTGGACGAAAAACGAAAATAGTCAAACAATTTGTTTAAATACCAGAAACAACTAAAAAATCGTCCCCAGACTGTTTTTTTCTGACTATTTTTGAATATTCTTCCTGTAGAGGGACAGGCCCGACTTGCGGCCAGCGCTGGGCCCCCCTCTCTTCACACACCTGGCGGCGCCTCTGGCGCCGCCCTCGGTGCTCCCCGCGCGCCCGGGAAGGGGCTCGACGGGGGGGAATCCAGCGCCGACCGAAGAGATCCGCGCGGACCTCCGAGCGTCCGTGCCCGTGGCGGAACGTTCGGGCTTCCGAGTCCGAGAGGAGGCCCCTGTACCTTGCGGGCAGCCGCTGGAACGAGGGCACCACCTCCGGCCTCGTCTCCAGCACGTGGGCGAGGACGGCGTCGTGGATGCGCGCGCTCACTCTCGGGGCAAACTCCTCGCGGAATTGTGGGATGGTGCCCAGGGCGCTGATCGCGACGAACGTGAGCATGGCATCGAGGGCTTCCTCGGACATCAGGCGCACGCTCTGCTTCATCCACCCCTGGATCCAAGACCAGGAGTGTCTGGAGAGCAGCTCGTTGTCGGCCTGGCCCCTGGTAAATGCCTCATGCTGGCCAGTGACGCACCAGTAAACTGACATCATCGCGCAAATTGTCTTGGGCAACTGCTCAGAGCCCCCTGCATTGAAGTACGACAGCTCGGGGAACGTCCGCTCCAAACGGGCCTTGAACTGTGCCTCCGATATCTTGTTAGCCAACGCGTCGGACGCCAAGTCCCGGCTTTGCATTCTGAGGGTGTTAAGCACTGACGGGTTGCGGACAGGGATCCAAACCGTTGGCACCACGACCACTTCGGTGCTGCCGCTCTTCACGACGTCGAACGATATCTCCTGGAACGTGACAGAGCCCGCGAAGTCCTGAGTGAACACTGCCAACTTCACCAAGTCGATGGTCAAGACGGAGCAGGAGCTCCACCGGAAGTGCTTCTCGGCCTCCCGGTGCACCTGCAGCAGGATCCTCAGCGCGGGGAGAATTGGAGGAGGAGGAGGAGGAGGAGGAGGAGGAGGAGGGAGAAGGAGCAGCGGGATCCTCAGCGCAGGGAGGATTCCCACCATGGTGTTGGAGAGGGCGTTGGAGAGGAGTGCCCGGCCACCCGCGAGGACGAAGCCGGGCTTCACGGCGATGCCGTCCGCGGTGAGGTACCTCGCGAGCGCGGAGCCCTCGGCCCCCGACAGCTGGCCGAACGCCTCGCGGACCTTTGAAGGGGAACTGGGACACACAAATAAATACACACAAATAAAAATATCACCCATATTTTCCAATATTTTCGGGGTTTTTGTCTTCCCCCCACTTCCCATATTTTCGCATATTTTCCTGGGGATCGACGATTAATTGTGTCTGTGTGTTTTTTCCCCTCCTGGACCTTCCCGGCGAGCCCGGGGCTGGTGGCGGCGGCGAGGCGCGCGACTCGGGCGACCGCGCGGGACTCCTGGCTGGCGGCGTCGAAGTCCAGATGGAGCATGCTGCTGGTCAGCTGCAGGGAGCGGTTGTAGATGGCGACCTCGCCCTCGCCCTGCAACATCTCCAGGGCATCCAAGCCCACCTCGAGCTCCGACCACAGCCTCGACGTCATGCACACGGATCCCTCCAGGCTCTGCTCCGCCGAGGCCGCGGCCATCTCGACAAACACCATGAACATGAAGAGGCGCAGCACCTGCGCCGAGGTCAATTCTCCTGCGCAGTCTGCGCTGCCCAACATCGCCTTGATGGCTGCGAGGCTTGCCGGGACGCTCTCCGCATCCAAGAATTGCCGGAAGTCGAAGAGCCGGAGGCTGAGGAGGCACTGCACCACCTTGCGGTACCGCGGGCGGAGGCGCCAGTAGGAGGGCAGCACCTTGGGGCTGCTGTCGAGGATCTGCGCGATGACCCGCCTGTGGCTGTCCGCGTCGGGCGCGAGGTGGGCCCCGAGCTTGGGTATCCTGCCCAGGCTGTGGAGAGCCGCGGTCACGAGCAGCGCCTCCACCGTCTCCGGGTCCGTCAGGCCGCGCGGCCCCGCCAGCTGGCGAATCTTGCCCCACGCCTTGGCAGACAGCTTCACGGACGCCTCCTGGCCGCGGTTGAACGACTCCAGCTGGTTGCTGGCCGCCCAGTACACGGTCAGCAGTGCCAGCTGCGCCTCCCGGAGCGCCCCCTTCTGCGCCGCGCCCTCCTCCCCGGAGAAGAACTGCAGCTCCGGGAACGCCTGGGGCAGCCTCTTCAGGAAGGCGGGCTCGCGCACCCTGGACCCCAGCACGCCGTCGACCAGCGCGCGGGCATCCGCGGACAGGAGCTCCAGCGCCCGGGGGTCGTTCCACACCTGCCACGGGCTCATGCGCAGAGTCCCGACGCTGTCGGACGTGCGCGCGATCTCGAACTTGGCGCACCGGAAGCTCTCGGCGTCGGCGCAGCTCAGCGCGCGCTCCACCAGCTCCGGCAGCATGACGGTGACCACGGTCTGCTCGCTGTCGACGTACTCCCTGGCCGCCGCCTCGTAGACGGTCACCAGCATCTCCAGGCCGAGCGTGAGGCCGATGCTGGGGTTCCTCCGCGCGTTGGCCAGGACATGGGGGGCGAAGTAGAGGAGGAAGCCGGGCTTCTGATCGATGCCGTCGGCGTTGAGGAAGTGGATCAGCGACCTGCGCTGGCCCGGCTCCATTCCGGCCAGCGCCTCGGAGACCTCCCTGCCGCCCTCCGCGTCGAACACGCGGGCGAGGCATGCGAGCCGCACCCTCGCGCGAGACGCGGGGTCGTGTGGGTAGAAGCTCAGCGCCTGTGCCCTCGCGCGCTCCTTGAGGAACCGCTCGTAGACCTGCTGCGCGCTCTCCCTCATCAGGTGCTTCAGCACGTCGAGCCCAACCTTGTAGTTGGAATAGAATTCGTCCGTCATGAAGAGGGAGCCCTCCAGGCTATCCTTGCCGCGCAGCCCGCTAAGAGCCGCGAAATTGCGGAACAGGAAGAGGCCGAGGGTGTTTACAGAGCCACTGGTGTTTCCCGATTCCATTAGGATCTGCTTGGCCGCGGACAGGTTGCCAGGCAGGTTCTCCGCCTGCAGGAACTGGCCGAAGTTGAAATTGGCTTTCAGAGCGGACAGGATCGCCTGGCGCTGGTGCTCGTTAAGCTTCATGAACGAGGGCACGAGTATCGGACTCTTCTGGAGGATGGCGGCCAGCGCCTCGTCGGGCTCGTCCACGTCTGGCGCAAAGGCCTGGCGGAAGCTCTTGATCCGGGAGAGGTTCATGATGGCGACGAAGACCAGCGTGGTGCTGAGCATCGACGTGCTCCCCGTGAGGCACACGGTCCTCTTGGCCCACTCCTGGAGCTTCTCCCACGACGGCGGCGTCAGCCGCTCCCCCTCGGGCTGCCCACGGACGAAGAGCTCGTAGTGGTCGGCGGCCACCCAGAACACGGCCAGCAGCGCGCAGAGCGTGCTCTTGCGCACGTCGGCCTCGCCCAGGCCGAAGTAGCCCAGCTCCATGAAGAGGGAGTCGGCGATCTGCAGGAAGTCCCCCTCCGCGGCCCGAGGCGCCGACCTGCCCGAGAGCTCCCCGAGCACCCGCGAGGCCAGCTGCTCGGCGTGGCCGCGGCTCTTGCGGGAGTAAAGCTGCGCCGCGAGGTGCTCCTGCCTGGACCAATGCTGGGTGAGGAACTTCGCGGTCTGGAAGTTCCCGTGCTGCATCGCCACGTGGATGGCCAGCCGCTCCTTGGAGTCGAGCGCCTCCGCGGGCGCCCCGCCATCCAGCATCAGCGCGCACAGGCCAGTGTAGCCCCTCTCCGCGGCGACGTGGAGGGGGGTCTGCATGTCCTGGTTCTGGATCTTGAGCGCCTTCCTCAGGGCCACGAGATCTGTACTTGCCGTCGCTCGGACGGTCATTTCACGTGCATGTTTCGGTTTCGCGCGTGTTTTTTTTGCTCGATGGTCCAGGATGGTCCTCGATGGTATTCGCCGAGAAAAAATGCACACGTCCGAGCGATGCCAGGTGTACATACCCACCGCTCCTGGGCCCAGGATGGGCCCGACCAGGGGCCGTCGGAGGCAGGGGGGAAATCGCAGTGGCACGGAGAGACCCACTGGGAAGTCGATGTCAGTTTCGAGCTCGCGTCGCGCGTGCGGGCGAGGCGAAGCTGCGTGGGCGGGCGAGAGGAACCACCCCGCCGTGGCTAGGGCGAGGCAAGACAAAAGACCGCCCCTCCAGTGGGCCGGCGTGGCCGGGGGTGTCCCGCCGTTGTGTCCCGCCGTGGTGTCCCGTCGGTGTCCGCGGCGGTGGCCAGGGGTGTCCCGTCGAGGCTCCGTCGGTGCTCCGTCGGTGTCCCGTCGGTGTCCCGTCGGTGTCCCGTGGGTGTCCTGCCGGTGTCCCGTTCCGTTGGTGTCCCGCCGTGGGTGTCCTGTCGGTGTCCCGTTGGTGTCCCGTTGGTGTCCTGTCAGTGTCACGTCGGTGTCCCGATTGGTGCCCCTTTGGTGTTCTGGAGTTTGTTCGAAAATGCCCTTGGCGGTGCGATTGTGGTCCGATCGTGTCCAAATGGTTTCCAATGAGGTCCATGGTTAGACTTGGGGGATGGGTCCGAAGTGAACCGGAGACTGCGACCCCCCATCGCAGTGCACCCGACTGTCATCACTAGCACCAGCAACGCCACTGTCACCGCAGCTGTTTGGCCCAAGCAAGCACTTCGCATGAGATCGGTGGTGAGATCAATTGAGTGAAACGTTGGTTTCGTTCCTCCATCATAACCTCCTTATCAACCGAACGATGGCCGAGTATGTGACATATATAGATATACACATACATACATAGACACATACCTATACGACCGCCCTGCGGGCGATTTGGGGGGGGATTGAGATCAAATGCCCGCCCTGACTGACCCCCAGCCTGTCACCTTGATCTCATCTCTCTCTCTCTCTGTGGACAAGATGGAGTGGATAAGATAAGCTGGATTGGATAACTAAGAAAGCCCGCAGCAGGCGCCGACAAAAATGAATTGATGGATTTGGGTTGGGTGGATTGGATTGGATGGGATAAGACGGATTTGATAAGATATGATGGGTTTGATAGGAAGAAATGGATTGGATAAGATAAGATGGATTGGATTGGCCCGCCGCAGGCGCAGAAACAAATGAATTGATGGATTGGGTTGGGTGGATTGGATTGGGTGGGATAAGATAAGATGGGACAGTATGGGTTGGATTAGATAAGATGGATTGGGTTGGACAAGATGGATTTGATAAGATAAGCTGGATTGGATAAGAAAGCCCGCCGCAGGCGCCGAAACAAATGAATTATGAAATTAACCTGGCGAAGGACCCAACCATATGCAGTTGTGGGTATCGCATTCGGGGGAGCCCCGTATGGGGCCACGAACCGCTGCCCTGGGTGGGGGGGACGCATGCGAACTGCGCCACTGGGACCTTCGGTGGAGCTCCCTATGGGGCCACGAAACGCTGCCCTGGGTGGGGGGGAACGCATGCGAACTGCGCCACTGGGGCCTTCGGTGGAGCTCCCTATGGGGCCACGAAACGCAGCCCTGGGTGGGGGAACCGCATGCGGGCTGTGCCACTGGGACCTTCGGTGGAGCTCCCTATGGGGCTACGAGACGCTGCCCTGGGTGGGGGAACCGCATGCGGGCTGTGCCACTGGGACCTTCGGTGGAGCTCCCTATGACGCCAGGGGGAACCGCATGCGGGCTGTGGCACTGGAACCTTCGGTGGAGCTCCCTATGGGGCCACGAAGCGCTGCCCTGGGCGGGGGAACCGCATGCGGGCTGTGCCACTGGGACCTTCGGTGGAGCTCCCTATGGGGCCACGAAACGCTGCCCTGGGTGGGGGAACCGCATGCGGGCTGTGCCACTGGGGCCTTCGGTGGAGCTCCCTATGGGGCCACGAAACGCTGCCCTGGGTGGGGGAACCGCATGCGGGCTGTGCCACTGGGACCTTCGGTGGAGCTCCCTATGGGGCTACGAAACGCTGCCCTGGGTGGGGGAACCGCATGCGGGCTGTGCCACTGGGACCTTCGGTGGAGCTCCCTATGGGGCTACGAAACGCTGCCCTGGGTGGGGGAACCCCATGCGGGCTGTGCCACTGGGACCTTCGGTGGAGCTCCCTATGGGGCTACGAAACGCTGCCCTGGGTGGGGGAACCGCATGCGGGCTGTGCCACTGGGACCTTCGGTGGAGCTCCCTATGGGGCTACGAAACGCTGCCCTGGGTGGGGGAACCGCATGCGGGCTGTGCCACTGGGACCTTCGGTGGAGCTCCCTATGGGGCTACGAAACGTGTGAGGGGTGTGCCGAGAGCAGAGGCAAGGAGGGGGAGGAGGGAGGAGGGCGAGGAGGGGGAGGAGGAGGAGAGGAGGTGGGACGCGGGGCGCTGTCTCTTCAAAACGAGGACCCAACACCACAGGATGGTTGGGAATTAGCGACATGCGTTAGCGCCGGGACGCCCAGGACACCCGGGACACCGGGGACACCGCCCAGCCCAACTGGCCACTGGCGGACGGGCACACGGACACCCGGAACACCCCGGGACACCGCCCGGCAACACTGGCCACCGGCGAACGGGCACACGAACACCCGGGACACCCGGGACACCGCCGGCCACACTGGCCACTGGCGGACGGGCACACGGACTTTCGCTCCTACTTCGGTCTAGCGACAGGCCGGTTCATTCCTCTCGCGCGCCCGCGCAGCTTCGCCTCGCCCGCACGCACGACACGAACACGAAACCGAAACCGATTTCCCGGTGGGGAGTCTCCGTTTCACTGCGATCTCCCCCCCCAACCTCCGGTTCATATATATATATATATATGGATATATTCCCTTTTCTATATTTTTACAATCCGGGGGGGTGGGAACCCCCCCCCCCCGAAAATCGGACCCCCGGGATCTGGCGCTTTTGGGGCCCCCTGGACGCCTTGCAAGGGGTCCCCCCCCTGGAAGACGCGGCTGAAATTTTTAGCCGCGTTTAGCCAGGACCATGAGCGCGGTGCAAAAGTGTCTAAAATCGTAAGTTTTAGCCGGGTTTAGCCGCGCGTGCTTCTCGCTTGGGCGTGGCTTGCGAGTGGCTAAAACATGTCTAAAAACTTGGCAGTGTCTAAAAAAAGTGCCGTGTCTAAAAACATCGTGTCTAAACATGGCTACTCGTGGCTAAAATCGATTCACTGCCGTGGCTATTTCGTGGCTAAACGTGGCTAATATACAACCGCGACCCAGACGGGGAAAACGCTAAATATCGCTGCCCGCACGATCAAGCAGGTTGCCCCAAAAAGACAAGCAAGACAAGACACACCCGCATCGCGCCAGGAGGAGGAAGCGGAGGAGAGGGGAGGGAGAAGGAGCAAAAAGAGGACGAGGGTGGGGGAGGAAGTTGGACACGATGATGTCGAGCATAACGACTACGACGACGACGACGACGACGGAGAGGAATACGACGAATACGAAAACGAATGCGACGACGACGACGACGGCGGCGACGGCGGCGGCGGCGGCGGCGACGGCGACGACGACGACGACGAGGACGACGAGGACGACGACGACGGCGACGATCGACAGGAGGCAACAACCAAGGCAGTTGCAGATCTTTCGTCGTCGTCGTCGTCGTCGTAGCAGTCGCCGCCGCCGCGGCGGCCGCCGCCGCCGCCGCCGCCGTCGTCGTCGTCGTCGTCGTCATTGTCTTCGTCATCGTCTTCGTGAATTTCATTGTTGTTATTCTCCTTCTTAACCTTATCATTATTATTCGTCGTCGTGCCTTTATTCCTCCCCTATGCTTTTTCTGGTCCTGATCCTCATATTCCCCCGCTCATCCGCTTACCCCTCCACGTCTCTCCCTCCGTACCTTCTCGTGCTCATCCTCTGCCTGCTCCTCCGTCTTCCCCTTCCTCCTGCCACAGGTAACGGCCAAGCCTCATCTGTGTTCCACCGCTTCGGGAGCTTCGACACAGTCATTCGCACATGTTCGGATTAGAAAACATGCGTGTTTATTTCGTGTCTAAACGTGGCTATAATTTTCGCATGCAAAACACTCGCTCGCGCCCGTGACTAAACATGGCTAAACGTGGCTAAAAATGGTTAAACGTGGCTAAATGTCATGCCGTGGCTATTTTGTGGCTATTCGTGGCTAAACAAGTTTAATTCCGTGGCTAAAAATGTCTAAACATGTCTAAAACGCGTAAAATATACACCGCGACCATCACAACGCAAACGAAACATTGATAAATAATATGATGCGCGGGACATGAAAATAGACACGACCAGACACTTGAAAATCGCTGACGGTTCCACACCAGGGCGGCCCCAGAATAGCCACGAGGCTTTGTCTTCCGGGGCCGGGCCTTCCGGGCCTCCTGGACGCCCCTGCCGGGCCTTGCCAGCGGGCCCAAAGCGGTCAGGAGGGCGGCCAAACGGCCCCGCGAGAGCCCCACGCGGCCCCAGACAGCCCCAAGACGCCCGAAGACGACCCAAAGAAGACCCCCAAGAGGTCCTCCAAGTGCAAAAAAACAACACTTTGCTTTCCTTTCCTTTTTTTGTCTTAAAAAGAAGGAATTTTTGGACATTCGGTTCTTCGGTATTCCGTGCGTCCGAGTCCGCCGAAGAGGCCCCCAAAATCCTCCCACAACGGTGTCAAAGGGCTTCCAGACAGTCCAAAAGAGCCCCAATATGGTCCAACAGGGCCGCAAGATGGCCCCAAGAGAGCCCCGCTGACAGCCCCAGATGGCCCCAAGACGCCTCCCGAAACACTCCAAATCGTGACCCGGTCGTTCAGGGAGACCGTGGTTGGTAGCAAGGTGGGCGCAAGAAGCCCCCAGAGGCCCCCAAAAGGCGCCCAGGAGGCCCCCAGAGGTCCCCAAAAAGCTTTTGAGAGGGGCCCAGGAACACCTCCAAAGAGGAGCCCCTGCAATAAAAACTGGGGATGAGGACAAGGAGTGGCTCGCAGACAAGGAAGATTACGAGTAAGAGGAGAGGAAGTATAAGGATAGTACTTAACATTCCTATAACGACGATGGCGCAAACGGCAACAATGAGTCATCCCTATATTTGGCTCTCCTGCATGCCGAGCTTACAGAACCAAGGTGCATGGCGCGAAGCGCCAATGCAGTCTTGTATATATATATATATATATATATATATATTATCTGAGGCGAGAGGGTGAGATCGCAGTGAAACGGAGAGCCCCCACCAGGAAATCGACTTCGGTTCCGTGTTCGTGTCGAGCGTGCGGGCGAGGCGAAGCTGTGTGGGCGGGCGAGAGGGATGAACCCTCCTCTGGCTAGGGCGCCGCTGGGCCAAAAACCCCACCCCCCCGGGTTGTCTGGCGGTGGACGGGGGTGTCCCGCGAGTGTCCCGCCAGAGTCCCGTCGGTGTCCATTAATGGTGGTCGTCTGGTTACGAATGTTATATCATGTAAGTCTATGACCTGTGTATGGTATGTATATACACACATTGTCACATAGTAGCTCTCGTCGTCCGGAGTTCCTGTTGCGATCGGAGAACAGCCGCAGGCACTGGAAAGCCGGGTGGTGCCCAGCCCGGGCCGCCACGTGCAGGAAGCCGTCCCCGCCCTCCCCCCGGAAGCTGCCCAGCCGGTGCTCCACCACGCGCACGTACTGCAGCGGCCAGGCCTCCGAGAGCATCTCGAGCATCTGCGCCCAGGCCGGGTCGCCCAAGAGCTGAGCCACGCCGGGCAGCTCGTAGCCCCCGCCGCGGGCCACGGCGCTTGCGGCGAAGAAGCTGAGGAAGTCCTTGGCCAAGAACTGCATCTCCTCGCGGGCGCCGTCGGTGACGCGCAGGAACATGGCGTGGCCGGCCACCACGGCCTTCTTGAGGCTGGGCCACTCGCGGCGGAGCTGGCCGCGCAGCAGCGCCTCTGCCTCGGCGGCGGTGATGCTGTCGAGGCCGCGCAGGGCCATGTGGAGCGCGACCACCTCCACGATCTGCTTCCACCTGTCGAGCTCCTCCTGCTGGTTCAGCCTGTCGGCCATCTGCCGGCGCTGCATCCGCATCAGCATCACGTCGATGGCCACGCGGTAGATGGCGGTGATGTTCGTGCCCTCGCCCTCGTCCTCGTTGTCGTCGGCCTGGCCCCTGCGCTGGGCCTCCCGCTTCTCCGCCTCCTTGCGCTTCATCGTCTGCAGGTAGCACAGCAGCATGCTCAGCATCATGGGGTTCCCGAACACCTCGGGCTTGCCGTCGCTGCCCTCGCCCTGCTCTCCGTGGGGCTCGCCGCCCCCTCCGCCCCGGACCTTGGCGAAGATGCGCTCGAAGGCATCGAAGCCGCTCAGGCCGAGGCGCGCGTGCGCAACCATGCGGATGTGTTCCTCGGTGAGGCTCTCCACGTTCATGGCCACGATGCTGTCCTCGATCTCTTCCAGGGACGACTGGCCCCCAATCAGCGGGCGAGATGTGACTACCACCATGCGCTGCTGGAGGATCTGGCGCTGGATGCACCGCTCGATGCATGGCTTCAGCTCCCCGCAGTCCTCCAGCCCCTCGAAGATGAGCATGACGTGCTTCGTCTTGATCGCACGGCAGATCATGAGATACCTGTGGCTGTCCTCGCCGAAGGTGATCCGCAAATACTTGTCGAACCACCGGTCCACAGCGCCCTCGTCCGTGCTGTGGTGCTTGTCGACCATGCACAGCTCGGGATCCTGGGAGGAACGCTTCACCAGGTCTGCCACCGGCAGCAGCAGCGGCACCACGTGCGTGTAGCGGTCCAGGACCTCCATGATGAGCCGGTGGACCAGGCAGGTCTTGCCGCTGCCGGGGGGGCCCAGCACCAGGAAGGCGCTCGGCGTGCCCGAGGGCGTGCCCCTGTCGAGCCTCTCGGCGACGCCCATGATGTTCGCCCAGCCCCGCCGGGCGCCCGCGGTGGCGCCCTCCTCGGCCCCGGCCGAGCCGGCGCTGCCCGTGGAGCGCACGGGCGGGCTCTTGCTGCCGCCCCCGAGGCCGAAGCGCGGCCCCAGCTGGGTGAGGCTCGGCGGGGCGCACTCGCGCACGCTGAGCCGGTCTCCCGAGAGGGGGTCGATGATGAAGCTCAGGCGTGCGCGGAGCGTCTGCTTGAACCTCTCCGTCTCCTCCTGGAACATCTCCGCCGAGAGGGTCTCGGGCACCGTGGCGTCGCCCAGCGGGCTCGGCTTCTCGGTCCTGTGCTTCTTGACCGAGCTGTCCATCTCCGCCCGGAGCGCGGACAAGTAGCCTGCCTTCTCGAGCTTCCTGGCGTTCTTGGAGACCACGCCCAGGGAGTGCTGGACGCATTGTGCCAGCTTGCTGCAGTGGTAGATGGCCCAGATCTTGTACTGGGGAGCGACGTCCCGGTAGCCGATGATCCGGTAAGACTCGCGCAGGAAGGGCAGGTAAAGCTGGAGCGACATCCAGTCGCACGGCTGCAAGTCCGCCTGAGCCCCAGCGCGGTCTCGCATGCAGCCCACGACGTCCTGGCGCATGAAGCGCCGGACGGCGACGCAGTGGTCCATGAGCAGCTTGAGCGACAGCGCCCCCCGCCCGCCGCGGCCCTCTGGAAGGGGTACCGCGGAGACGTTCAGCGTCTCGCCAAGGGTGTCCCCACGCAGCAGCGCGTTGGACACGCTGGAGCAGTAGGTGAAGGCAGCGGCCACCATGGCCTCGTCGGCCACCAGCCGAGACTTCAGCGAGCGCTCCATCTTGTGCTGCTTGTCCAGGCTCTTGCTGGTCCTCTTCACCACCTCGTCTATGAGCTGCTCCAGGTCCCCCTGGCTGAGGCCGGCGAGGCGCTCAGGGGGCAGCGCCACGAACTTCTGCAGCAGCATCACCACCACGGCCTGGTCGGTGCGGAGCCAGTCTCCCACGTTCAACGTTTTCCAGAGGCTCTCCTGGGTGCCGGCGAACTCCACCAGCATCTTCGGTGTGATAGGTATCGCGGCGTACTCGAAGAGGCATGCCATCTCGAACTTGCACATGTCAGTGAAGAGCGGCAGGTCCACCGAGGTGGCGAAGTCGATCAGCCAAAGAGCGTCCGAGGCGTCGATCATAATGTTCGCGGCGTTGAGATCCCCATGGGCTAGTCCGACTAGCGGGGCCAGCTCCTTTCCCCCTTGGCCTGCCAAGCTGATTAACTTCTCCTTGATGGAATCGATGCCCAAATCCTTCATCGACGGGAGCTCCGCGCGAAAGTACTCCTTGTACAGCCTCCGCATCGCAGGCTCCGCGGGGTACTCGCCCTTCGCGGCGGTGTACAGGTTGAAGGGGCCTGGCTTGCCCTTCAGGGTGTACCAGCCCCAGAGCAGCGGCGTGCCCTCGGAGCGGTGGAGGCCCCGGTCGCCCTTCCTCAGCGACGAGACCACCCCGCCGGGGCCGAACGTCTCCGCGATGACGCTGTTCACGTTGCCGAACGGCCGGTTCTCCGCCGCCGCGGGGCTGGAGCTGACGCCCAGGAGCGCCTGCTCGCTCTCGTAGAGCAGGAGGTCCTCTTGAGCAGGGGCCGACCGCCCCGGCATCTCTGTAGGCCTACCACGACATGTTCCTGGGACCCAGAAGTGTTCGGAGAACAAAAACAGTTTTCCTAGAACATAATCCCGATGTGTTAAAACAAGACAGTCCCAGCCATACATGTTCTGAGAACATTTCGTGGAAACCACAAAAGGTTCCTAGAATATTGTTTCGTAGGCCTAGGGGCACGCCAGGACGCTTCGCCACTGCTTGGTCCTTGAAGGTGGACAGCAGGTTCGACGAGGAGGAGCCCTGCGCCAACTCCGGGTTGTTCCAGCAAGCGCCCGCGAGCTCGAGGCGCATGGCGCCGAACTCCTCGCCCGCGGAGAACACCTGCGGGGCAACGAGGGGGGGGGGGGGGGGGACTGGCAATAGGGGGGGATGCTCCGACCTGGAATCGGCGATGCATCGCCGATAGATCGGCGAGATGGGACCCCGATAAGAAATCCGCACCTTCCTGGGCAGCTTGGGGCTATCGGGCCCCATATCGGCGATCAGTGGGCGATTGGGGGTCGATGCACCCCCCCCCCCTGTGCCTATCCCCCCCCCCCCCTCTCGTTGCCCCCCTGAACAACCGGGTCGCCCAGGATGCGCGCGGCCCGGTCCGGCAGCGCGGCGAAGACGTTGACGGACTTCTGGAACTCGTCGCGGATCAGCTTCCCCGTGTCCAGCTTCACCACGCAGGGCTCGCTGGGGCGCCCCTCCCGCTCGTAGGGCTGCACGCGGACCACGGCCGAGCCGCCGAAGCCGCCGGTCAGCATCTGCGCCTCGAAGGACTCGAAGGTCTCGAACATCTCGAGGAGCAGGCGCTTGTAGGCGTCCTTTTTTTTTCTCCCCCTCTCAAGCACTGGCGGAAAAAACGGTTGCATTTGAGAGGCGTTTTATTCCTCACTTGCAGCCGGAGGGCGACGAGGGAACGAGGGAGAAGAGGAGGAAGACAAGGCCGAGGGGGAAGCAACGGCGACCCCAAAGCGCAGAAACGAAACGACAAGGCGCTTGTAGGCGTCCTTGCGGGCGCTGCCCTGGAAGAGCTTGTCGCAGAGCTCGGCCACGTCCATCTTCGGGGCGCCCTCCGCGCCGCCCGCCGCGATGCCCGAGCTCGCCTCCCACACCACCGTCTTGTCCCAGCGCCAGAAGCGGGCGGTGGTGGAGCCGTGCAGGTCCTTTTTTTTCTTCTCCCGCCGACTCCAGAAGTTACGGCGGATTTCTGTTTTTGGGTGGGCGACGAGGGAACGAGGGAGAGGAGGAGGAAGACGAGGCCGAGGAGCCGTGCAGGTCCGTCTCCACCGTCCGGAAGCGCTGGCCGCTGGGGAGCCCGACCTGGCGGAGGACGTCCTTGTTGATCTCCGCCTCCTTCTCGGGGATGGTCAGCACGGCGCGGCTCTGCTGGACCTTGCAGCGCAGCGGGTAGGCCTTGGTGGAGCCCGTCTGCTGGTTGGGCGCGTCGGGGATGTACATGGGCAGCAGGTCGCCGTCCACGCTCTTCTGCAGGTTCACCTGCAGGCCGCTCTGCAACCACCGCTCGATCTGCTGCTGCACGGACACCTCGTTGACCGTGGTGACGAAGCCGGGCAGGAAGTTCCTGGTCGACATGCGGCCCGAGGAGTCCTCCTCGTGCGTCTCGATCAGCAGCATGTCCTTGAAGCACAGCTTGAGGAACACCATGTCCAGAACGCGGACGAGCTGCCCGTGCTCGTCGGCCTCGAGCCAGCAGCGCCCCGCCTCCAGCTCTGCGAACAGGTCGGTGAGGCTGCGGTATCCCCCCTGCCCGAACGCGGCGACGTCGACGTTGTGCTTGCCGAGCAGCGCCTGCAGCTCGCCCTCTTCGCGCACGACGATGCGGCGCTGCAGCCTCATGCGGCGCATCTCCTCCACCAGCAGCTTCACCTAGAAGAAAGATAATTATGCACATCACCGGTTCTGACCAGGCCCATCCTGAGCCCAGGATCGGTGCATATGCCCTCCTGCCTTGGCCAGGAAAGCATGTGCACCGATCCTGGGCCCAAGATGGGCCTGTCCAGAATCGATGCATGTGCATAGTTCTCTTCGCCCGATCACCTGCCCGTTGGACACCGTCAGCTGGTCCAGGAGCACGTTGTTCTGAGACTCCACCTCCACGAGCTTCTTCTTCTGCAGCCCCATCAGCGACGAGCCCATGTTGAGGTCCTCGCCCTGGGCGCGGATCAGCTTCCAGAGGAAGTAGTCGTTGTCGAGGATGGCCTCGACAGGATTCACCTGCGCGCGGGAACCGTTTCTCTCCCGACCGCGGGAGAGGACAAAGCGGGGCACGCGAGCGCTTCCAGCCCCGTCGTGGGGCCCCGAACCCGGTCGAGGTCGGTGCGTCCTCACCGGAGCGCCAGCGCCCGAGCGTCCCGAAGGCGGTGGAGCTCGGCCGAACCTCCCCCGGCCTCGGAAGTCGTGGTTTTCTTAGTTCGGGAGCGGCAAAGAAGGGGGTGTCCAAGAGGGGGGGGTGCAAATCATGACCGGCGGCATGTGCGCGGCCCAGCGGGGGGGCCAGGGACGTAATAAAAATAAGAAGAGGCGCCATGAAATCTGGGGAAATATCATGGCCCCCGCCATGATATCCCCCCCCCCTAGTCATCACCCCCCTCTTTTCCGCCCCCGATTAGTGACGTGGCGTCTGGACCTCTCGACCCCAGCTCCAGGACTGGTTTTTCGTCGCCGGCCAATTCGCTGTCATCACGGGGACCGAGGCGGGCCCCTCGAAATCCAAACTCTGCGCATGAAACAAGCAAGGCCCGGACGTCGCACGTCGCAATTGATTCGAGAGCGCCAGATGTCTCGGTTTCCATCAGCGCCCACCTTGATGCAGATCTTGCCCAAGGTCTCCCTGTGCGGCATCGGGTGTCCCCTGGAGGAGGAGGTGGCGGAGGAGGAGGAGGAGGAGGAGGAGGAGGAGGAGGAGGAAGAAGAGGAGGAGGAGGAGGAGGAGAGGAGAGGAGGAGGAGGAGGACGAGGAGGATGAGGAGGACGATCAGGAGGAGGAAGAGGAGGAGGAGGAGGAGGCGGAGAAGATGAGATGCTGGAAGGTGCGATGCAGCGAGAAATCGCTCTCGCGATCGTCAGGAATGCAGCAGCAGGGCCCAAGGCCCAATTCGCGAGTGTGTGTTTGGAACGGCTGTGGACTGGGGGACACGAGGAGGCTCGCAAGGACGGGGCAAGAGAGGCGGTGGGAGGATACAGCGGAACACGCACTGCTTCTGCACCAGCACGTGCATGCGGTTCGGGGGCCACGTGCGAACCGTACAGGCGCGCCATTGCGCACAGGACACGCGACAGGAGACAAGACGCACATGACGCGCCGCGACCGCGGTCACCCGCGGCCGAACCCTGCCCCTACCCCCCACGATTTCTGAGGGGGAGGGTGGGGCTCGCTTCGCTCGGGAGCTCCCTGGCGGCCGTGGGGGGGCAGGGGGCAGGGTTCGCACGTGGCACCCCAGCGGTGGGTGGCACCCCAGCGGTGGTTCCTTGCCTGCCCGCCGCTGGGAAGCCTGAGTGTGGCCCACTGCCAGCTCGGGCGCGCTGCTCCGATCGCGAGGGCGGACCAGCGACTGGAGAGCTCGTCGGGCGGCCGATGGATACCCCGAGAACAACGAGGATTGACTCGGGCTTGTCCCCCTACAAGGGGATTCTCGACGAAAATGATCTGTTGAACACTTTTTGGCCTCTTTTGCAAATTTTTGGTGTACTTTTTATTTTTCGTCGAAAATCCCCCTGTAGGGGGACACGCCCGACATAAAACGAGGAGTTTCTGGAAAACGACCGTGAAAGGCGAGATCAACGCTGATCGTCGCAGCGCTTCCGCCACCTCACGCCGTACTCTAAGTTCCCTGGGTGGAGTGGATGCGGCCGCGGCTCTGATTTCCTGATGGGCAGCGACGATCGCCGCGGAAACGCTGGTTGCAGGAAGAGGGGAAGCATGTTGACCTCGCGACATAATGTAGAAATGCACGGTGGACCGAGGCTCCTCCCAAGAAAGTGGAGACAACGAACCCGCCTCCCACCAATGAAAGAATGCACCGTGCTGTCTTCCCACTCAATATCACGAAGGCGTTCGACAACAAGGTTCCGGCCCGCCACGGTACGCGGAGGGAACAGAGCGAGTGGCATCATGTGTAGAAATGGCATGGGCAGAGCGTGGGCAAGGCGGCGGGCTCCAGTCCGTCATGGCTACGAGATCACTTTTGCCAAACGAGCTCGGAAGCAAGCTGGGCACATGGTGGAAAATGCGAGTCAGCGCGGGCCCAAAACAATATGTTTCTAGCAGTCTGCGCTGTGCAATCTAGGTGGAACATATATGTGGTGCAGCCTACGCGGCGCCATGTGTGATGTGCAACGTGTGCTGCGCAATCTACGTTGTGCAATGCATGTTGTGCAATCTTTGTGGAGCAACATGGGTGGTGCAGTCGATAAAATGGAAAATCACCCAGCCGAAACACAACTTGTCAACTCCACATATTGCGCAACCATCCCACCAACCCACCCGCAAGTTCGCTTTCAAGGCCCATGCGGAAGCAATTGCGATGAGTGGTTGGCATTGGCTGGTGCATCTCTGCGGCCGCGCTAGCCCACGCACGCACGCACGCGCAGCGGCCAGCTGGTCTGGCGCGAACGACGCGGCCGCGGTGGCGCTGACCGCTGGGCACTTCCCAGCGGGCACTTCACTGCGGGTCGGCGACTTGGGCGGGCGCGGTACCATGGCAACGCCGACAACGGTAGACACGATGATGGTAGTAGCGACGCTGGTGACAATGATGACATCGACGACGGCAAGGCCAACGACGGCGCCGATGCTGATCACGCTGACGACGACGCCGGCGTCCTCGCATCGGTGGTGAAGGCTCGGGAACTCGACATGCGCAGGCGGCTGACGCGCGAGAGTGGCCCGCATGGTGTTATTTGACACGGGTCGTGCCCCCTCAGCGCGCGCAAGGGTGTCCCAATGATTTCGACATGTGGCGCGGGAGGCCCGTTTGACCGAATTTCATGAGAATGTTGAAACACAAAGGTTTCCTTCAGAATTCGCAAGAGCGCGAGCCAGGAGTTTTTGGCGCTCGATTTTGAAATCCCTCCCACACTCATGGATTCTGAAAGATTTCCGCATGCGCGTGCGACGACGCGCGCGCGTGCACTTCTTCCCGCTGTTTTGAAATGGGTTTATGCGACAGCGAGCGCGCAAAGGCGTTCGAGCGATTTAGACATGCGCGCGCGGGAGGCACGTTGGGTAGCACTTGATGAACATGTAGGGAAAAAACCATGGTTGTCTTCAGAATCTGCAGGAGCGCGAGCGCAGGTTCTCCTGCTCAAGATTCTGGTATGGAGCCAGGTGAACTCTATGTGTTCAGCACGCTCGATTTTGAAATCCTTACGACACCGGAAGTTTGCGACAGATTTCGGCCTGCGCGCGCGACGACGCGCGCGCGTGCACATCGTCATTTTTGCTGCAAGGGGTTATTGAGACAACTTGTGGTAAACGAATGTGCGCGCATTTGGTTTGTTGCAGAAGATGCCGGGGAAGGCGGTGCCAGCCTGCCTGGGATGGCATGAATTCATACTAAAGATGGACGATGGGGCAGACATCAGCAGGGGAAAGGGGTAGATCTGAAGACTGTTTTTGAAGGGAAAAATCTGTGGTGCACTAGGCGTTGAGCAATCTATGTTGTGCAGTACACGTGGTGCGAACTACGTGGTGCAGTCTATGTTGGGCGCGCTATCCGTAATTCAATTTACGTGGTGCATTTTACGTGGTGCAGTCGATGTGGCGCAATATAAGTGGTGCAGTCTACGCGGTGCAATTCACCGCTGCTCAACTTGAGTTTGCCCACGCCCACTGCTCGCGCAATCATCCCACCCGCCCACCTGCACTTTGGTATCCTAAAACCATGCGAAGGCGATTGCCGTGAGAACTTGGCGTTGGCTGGTGCATCTCTGCGGCCGCGTGAGCCCGCGCATTCGCGCGCGCTCAGCGGCCAACTAGTTTGGCGCGACCGACGCGGCCACGGCTGCGCTGACCGCTGGGCGCGTCCAAGCGGGCGCGCCAGTACGAGTGGGCGACTTGGGCGGGCGCAGTGCCATGGCAACGTCGACCGCGGTGGACACGATGATGGCAGTAGCGATACTGGTAGCGATGTTGGCAACGACGACGGCGCGGCCAGTGACGACGCCGACGCTGGTCACGCAGACGGCGACGCCGGCACCCTTGCGTCGGCGATGAAGGTCCTGGTCGGACTTCGACATGCGCGCGCGGCCGACGCGCGAGAATGGCCCGCATGGTTTTATTTGACACGGGTCGTGCCCACCCCCCCAGCGCGCGGGGGCGTTCGACTGATTTCGGCGAGCGGCGCGACAGGCCCGCGTTTGGCAGAAGTTCATGACGATGTTGAAGAACAGGATGTTTTTCTTAAGGATTCGCAAGAGCGCGAGCGCAGGCTCTCTTGAAAACCGCTGTTGTGAAACCAGAGGTTGTTATATGGTTTCGAGACACTCGGTTTTGACAATCTCGCGAAGCCCAAGGTTTGTTTAAATGATTTCTGCATGCGCGCGCACTTCGCCCCACTCGTTGCAAAGGATTCTTGCCGCAGCCAGCGCGCGAGGGCTTTCGAACGATTTCGACATGCGCGCGCGCAAAACTCGTTTGGTCGCATTTAACGACCACGTTGCAAACCACGGTTGCCTTGAGAATTCGAGGGCGCGAACGCAAGCTTGATTGGCAATCCTTATTGCGTAACCATGTCTTTCGCGCGTTTCTTGGACGCGCTATGTCGAGATCCGCGCGAAACCTCAGGTTGCCGAAGGGCTTCTTCACGCGTTCGCGACGACGCGCGCGCGCAACCTCATGGTTCTTCGCTTCGAGAAAGAACGCGTGCAAACTTATGAGATTTTTGTAGACATGATGGTGGGGGGAGGTCGATGTCGGTTTAGCTGGGATGATCTGACATCATACTGTGGATGCGCAATGGGGCATCATCATCTGTACATTGCGATACGAGAAAGGGGGCGGATAACCCCGGGGGAGTAGATCCGAATTCTGAGCAGGGAAAATTGATCTACGCGTGCAATGGCCAATATCATGCCCCCGCAAACGCCCCACCCACCCGCCCGCTCTTTTGTTTGCAAAGCCCTTGCGGCGGCCACTGCGACGAGTGCTTGGCGCTGGCTGGTGCACCTGCGCGGCCGCGCTGGCCCGCGCGCGCTTGCGCGCGCAGCGGCCAGCTAGTTTGGCGCGACCGACGCGGCCGCGGCGGCGCTGGCCGCTAAGCGCTTCCCAGCGGGCACTTCGCTGCGAGTCCGCGACTTGGGCGGGCGCGCACCATGGCAACGTCGACGGCGGTAGACGCGGCGATGATAATAGCGATGCTGGCGACGACGGTGACATCGACGACGGCGCCCTCGCGTCGGCGACGCAGGCTCTGGACGGATTTCGACGCGCGCGCGCAACCGACGGGCGCGCGCTGGCGCACCGCACTGCGTGACTTGGTGCGGATCGCGCCCCCCCCCCTCTCCCCCAGCACGCGCGCAAAGGCGGTCGACGGATTCCGGCGCGCAGCGCAGGAGGCCCGCGCATCAGAATTAACACGCGTTGAAGAACCGATTGTTTTCGCAAGGTTGCGCAATGTCGCGAGCGCAAGCTTCTTAAACAAAAACGGATGTTGCCAAACCATGGGTGTTGCATATGCTTTTGGGTCACTCGATCTTGAACCCTTTACGAAACCAGCGGTTTTTGGAGGAATCCAGCATGCGCGCGCAGCAAACGGCTAGTTTGGCGCGACCGACGCGGCAGTGGTAGCGCTGACGGCTGGGCGCTTCCCAGCGCGCGCGCCGCTGCGAGTCGGCGGCTCGGGCGGGCGCGGCGCCGTGGCGACGCCGACGACGGCGGCCGCGATTATCAGAGTAGCGATGATGGTGGCGACGGTGGCGGCGACGACGGCAAGGCCAATGGCGGCGCCGTCGTTGACCAAGCCCGCCGATAACGATCGCGATGTCCTCGCGTCGGCGACGAGGGTTTTTGAGGGAGCTCGACGTGCGCGCGCGGCCGACGCGCGCGAGTGGCCCGCGTGAAATTAATTGGCGCGGATCGCGCCTGATAGACGCCCGTTTGGCAGAATTGGCTGGACATGTTGAGAAACCTACGGTCCCCTCAGAGTCCGCAAGGCCGCGAGTGCGAGATTTCCCCGAAAACTGACGTTGCAAAGCCATGTTTTTTATTGCCCCCCAAAAATGTGTTCGGAGCACTCTTTTTTGACATCCTCGTGCAACCCGAAGTTTTTGATGGATTGGATTCCGGCGCGCGCGCGCGACGACGCGCGGGCGTGCACTTCGCCGCATCCGTTGCGAGCGAATCTCGCGACAACACGCGCGCAAGGGCGTTCGAACGATGCCGGCACGCGCGCGCGAGAGGCCCGTTTGGTAGCACGTTGCGAACGTGGTGTTCGTAGGAATTTGCAAGAACGCGGGGGCAGACTTACTTGGAAAACCATTGTTGCGAAGCTACTTGTTTTTACGTGTGTTCGTGACTCTCGGTTTTGAATTCCCTACGAGACCCTGGGTTTGTCGTAGAAATTCCAGCACGCGCGCGCGACAACGCGCGCGCGCGTGCACTTCGTATTTTTTCCCTAGGTGTTTGATGACATGTGATTTTTGACAGACGAATGTGCGCGCATGGTATTTGTTTCAAAGGACGCGGGGGGGTCGAAGCCGGCCTGCCTGGGGTGGTATGATTCATATATACATAGGGTAGACGATGGGGCAGAATCAGAAGTACATTGCGATACAAAAAGGTGGGCCGTTGAGTCTGGGGTGGGGGAGGTAGATCCTATTTGTGTTTTGATAAATGCAAATCTATGTGGCGCAATTCGCCCTGCCGAATTTGAAGCTGCCTCCACTGCTCGTGCAATCATCCCATCCACGTGCCCGCAACCTCGTTCGCAAATTCCATGCGGCGGCGGCGCTGGCCGCTGGGCACTTCCCAGCAGGCACTTCACTGCGAGTCCGCGACTTGGGCGGGCGCGCACCATGGCAACGCCGACAGCGGCAGACACGGTGATGATAATAACGATGCTGGTGACGATGGTGACAACGACGACGGCACGGCCAATGACGGCACCGATGCTGACCACGCCAACGACGATGACGGCGTCCTCGCGTCGGTAATGAAGGTTCTGGAGGGATTCCGACACGCGCGCGCAAACGACGCGCGAGTGGCCCGCACTGCATGACTTGACTCGGATCGGGCCCCCCCGCGAACGCGCGCAAAGGCGTTCGAAAAATTTCAGCGCGCAGCGCAGGAGGCCCGCTTGGCAGAATGTTTTAACCATGTTGGAGAACGTACCGTTTTCTTAGGAATTCGCAGGGACGCTTGCGCAAGCTTTTTCGAAAACAGATGTTGCCAAACCATGGGTGATTTATATGCTTAACGGGGTGTCTACTTTACTCACGCCCCAGCGTCCGAAGATACGGAGACCGCGTCATCCGAACGGAGTTGATCATGTAGGCCTGGTTCACGGAAATAAATACTGGGGTCCCTCGGGGGGGCGCTGCTGTCGCATCATTCCTCGTCGGCGTCTTCCATGGTCTCATCCGCCCGCAGGGTATCCCTGTGGCCGGCAGTCCCATTCGATGGCGAACCCCCGTGCTGTGTTGACTCTAAATCGTTGACACTCTGCGGAGGACCCGAAGCGGAACCGCTAACACAGTCAGCGGGCACCGTCTCGAGGGTTACTGTTCGATTTCTTCCACGCCTTGACGACTATCAGGGACAACGGGCCAGCTCGGATCCTTTATCATGTTGAACATGTTGTAGTTTTCCGGGTCCGTCATTATCCTGTCTTTTTTTGGCCCCATCATCCCCTCGGCTCGTGACATAATCACGAGACCTCGTGGCGTCGTGGTGATTAATTATTTCGGCAGGCAACCAGCAATTTGCAGAGCTATATCAAAAACAGGAATCTCCTGGTTGATTGGAAAGTGTTTGTAATGACCTGGTTCTTCTTGACGTGCTCGAATATCATCGAATATCGGCCCCATGTTGAATCGCGGGGTGGGGGACCTCTTTGTCGCCATGACGCTTATGTCTGGTAAGCCGATCCCGAGGGAGGGGAGGGCGCGCGAGTTCGGTTTTGATGCCTCGCAAACGCAGCTGCCAATACTCATCCATGTCTGCTTGGGCGCCGCCAACCTTGCATTTGGCAGGTGTGTGGCGGCGCGAAAATGGGGGCGAGGGGAGCGCTGCTAATGACTGGGGAGGGGAAGAGGAGGAGGGATGAGGAGAAGGAACAGGAAGGAGGGTGCGGAGGAGGCGAAGGCCGTGGAGGAGGGAGCGGATGGAGGAGGCCGAAGCGGAGGGAAGAGGTGGAGGCCGAGGAGGAGGGAAGAGGGAAGCGATTGAGGAGGGGGAAGTGGGGGAGGAGTGCGACGGCGAGAGCGACAACGCTGAAGACGACGACGACGCCGACGCCGACGACGACGACGACGACGGCCTGGCGTCGCGGACGTCCACGATGCGGGCGTCGTTGTGCTCGATGTTGTCGTCCAGGAACAGCTGCCGCGTGGGCCTGCGGCCGCCGATGAGGGTCACGAGCTTGCCAGCGCTTGCCTGGGCTGCTGCTGCTGCTCCTCGTCCCCGTCGCCCCCGTACTCGTCAGCGGTGCCCTCGTCCTCATCCCGCCCCCCTCACCATTCTCTTCCCCTTCCTCCGCCTGCCTCCCGTCGTCGTCCTCCTCCTCCTTGTCGCCCTCCTCCATCTCCTGGTCCCCCCTCACTATGCCCATCCGCCCTTCCCCCCTCCGCCCGCGCTCACGGACATCTCCTGGGATGAGTTCTTGTGAAAATCTCGAGGCCCATCCAGCCGTGGCCACCAGGGCGCCCCAGGAGGCTCAAACAAAGGCCCAAAGACATCCAACACCCTCCCGACTGTCATTGTCGAGCCTGGATCATGAATCCTCCTCCTCCTCCTCCTCTTCCTGTTCTAGCGGTCTCCCGAGGTCTCCAGGTCTCCTGAAGTCTCTAGAGGCCTCCAGAAGCACACGAAGAAAAAAAACACGCACAAACACCTTGATTATCGGCTCGCTCCTCCTCCTCCTCCTCCTCCTCCTCCTCCTCCTCCGCTTCAACCCTCGCCTGCTCGTTCTCCTCCTCCTCCTCCTCCTCCTCCTCATCCCCCTCCTCCTCCTCGACCCTCGCCTGCTCCTTCTTGAATGTCCACCACGCCCAGTCGTCCTTGATGGCGGCGGTCCTCTGGTGGAGTAGCTGTTTGCCCGTCCACTTTTGCAGGCCGTGGATCCCCTCGGCGGTCCTGGCCCTCAGCACCTGAGGAGAATCGAGGATCGAGGATCGAGAAGGATCGAGGATCGAGGTTCGATTTGTTCCACAGTTTCGGTCCTCTGGAGCCCCATGTCGGACAATGTCGGGCCCCAGGGCCGTCAAGCACCGATCTGGCGCGAAATGTGGCCAGGATGGACTCCGGAGGGGTCCGAGGAACGGTTTTGCGCGGATTTGTGCTGCAAACGCTTCAGACGAATGTGCGCGACGCTGAAGCGAGAATCTCCACTCTGAAGACGGTTCCACTCCATCCTTGAAACTATTGTTCCCCAGTCAGAGCTTGCCTCGAGGGGCGGATTCTATGGTTAAGTGAGCTTTGCCGCCGAATTCCGCGGCCCGCCCAGGTGCCCCGGTGCCCGGGTGCCCGGGTGCCTGGGGGTACCCGGGTGCCCGAGTGCCCCGGTGCCCAGGTGCCCGGGTGCCACGGTGCCATATAGCCCTAAAGTCCTAAAGCCCTATAGCCCCATAGCCCTAAAGCCCTATAGCCCAATACGCCTGTAGCCCTATAGCCTTCCAGCCTTATAGCCCTATGGCCCCATAGCCCCAGAGCTCTATGGCACTATAGCCCAATAGCCCTATAGCCCTATAGCCCTATAACCCTATAGCCCAAATAGCCCTATAGCCCTATAGCCCTATAGCCCAATGGCCCTATAGCCCAATTGTCCTGTAGCCCTATATCCCTATAGCCCTACGTGGTTATTATGCTCTTGATTGGTGCTAAAATAAATGTGAGTGCGTCTCGCGCGAAAGCCCGAGCACGGACAGAGGGGGGAGGAGAGGTGCGGAGGAGGGCGGATGACTTCGGAGGAATGGGAGGGAGTAGGGATGATTCCACAGGAATGCGGATGGAGGGGGAAGAATGCGGAGGAGGAGGAGGGCGGAGGGGGGGGAGGAGCGTGGGGGAGGTAAAGGGAGTCGGAGTGAGGGCGGCGGACTCCAGAAGGCGGCCCCGCGCCCCCACGCCCCGACGTGGAGCGGGCGGAGGCTCGCACCGCTGGATAGAACTGGATAGAACTGATAGAACTGGTCATAGAACTGGACATAGAACTGGTCCATTAAAAATACGGTCCGGCCTAGAACTGGTCGGTCCAATTAAAGAAATTTTCAGAATATCAATAACTCTTCTTCTGAATGCGACCAGTTCTAGGCTGGACCCTATTTTTAATGGGCCAGTCCTATGACCAGTTCTATGACCAGTTCTACCCAGTTATACCAGTTCCGCGCCGTCGGAGGCGACGGCGGGGGGGGAAGCGCGCCAGGCCTCACTCCTCAAAGTCGGCGCCCTTCGCGTTCCGCAACGCGCCGCAGCGCCGTTTCATCGATTTCACGAGCGGCTCCAAGCCCCCCAGACCCTGTCTCGAAGTGGCCATGTAGGCTGTCCCGTGGCTGTCCCGTGGGTAGTCCCACGGTTGTCCCAGGGGGTGCCCCGTGAGTTGTCCCGCGGTGGTCCCGCGGGTTGTCCCATGGGTTGTCCCGCGGTGGTCCTGCGGGTGTCCCGTGGTTCCGTATACGCGCACATCGTCATCTAATTGCGTGTCGTGCTGGACGCATAAGCACGCACCAACACACACACACACACACTTAAATGCACGCACACATGTAAGCACGATTAGCCATGAAACCACCAAACACATCTAACCCGGACGGTGCCCCGACAAAAAGTGTCCACACCCAGGGCGGCAAGACACTGCGACGTGATAGCAACCGCAACAGCATGATGCACTTGTCTTGCACCCCTCCCCCCCAAAACCCAAAGTTGAAGTGTCCACATGTTGTCCCTGGCGAGCGGCCTGCCGCCTAACCCCGCCAACTTCGAGTTGGGGAAAGGGGGGTATACATATTTGTTCGACGTGATTAGACGACGAGTTGTCTTGGTGCGACAAGTGTGGACACTTTTTGTCCGCCTACCGTGGTTCTTATGCTCTTGATTGGTGCTAAAATAAATGTGAGTGCGTCTCGCGCGAAAGCCCGAGCACGGACAGAGGGGGGAGGAGAGGTGCGGAGGAGGGCGGAAGACTTCGGAGGAATGGGAGGGAGTAGGGATGATTCCACAGGAGTGCGGAGGGAGGGGGAAGAATGCGGAGGAGGAGGAGGGCGGAGGGGGGGGGAGGAGCGTGGGGGAGGTAAAAAGAGTCGGAGTGAGGGCGGCGGAATCCAGAAGGCGGCCCCGCGCCCCCACGCCCCGACGTGGAGCGGGCGGAGGCTCGCACCGCTGGATAGAACTCGATAGAACTGATAGAACTGGTCATAAAACTGGACATAGAACTGGTCCATTAAAAATACGGTCCGGCCTAGAACTGGTCGGTCCAATTAAAGAAAATTTCAGAATATCAATAACTCTTCTTCTAAATGCGACCAGTTCTAGGCCGGACCCTATTTTTAATGGGCCAGTTCTATGACCAGTTCTATGACCAGTTCTACCCAGTTATACCAGTTCCGCGCCGTCGGAGGCGACGGCGGGGGGGAAGCGCGCCAGGCCTCACTCCTCAAAGTCGGCGCCCTTCGCGGTCCGCAACGCGCCGCAGCGCCGTTTCATCGATTTCACGAGCGGCTCCAGGCCCCCCAGACCCTGTCTCGAAGTGGCCATGTAGGTTGTCCCGTGGCTGTCCCGTGGGTAGTCCCACGGTTGTCCCAGGGGCTGCCCCGTGAGTTGTCCCGCGGTGGTCCCGCGGGTTGTCCCATGGGTTGTCCCGCGGTGGTCCTGCGGGTGTCCCGTGGTTCCGTATACGCGCGCATCGTCATCTAATTGCGTGTCGTGCTGGACGCATAAGCACGCACCAACACACACTTAAATGCACGCACACATGTAAGCACGATAAACCATGAAACCACCTAACACATCTAACCCGGACGTATAACATAATAGCCTTAAAGCCCCATAGCCCTATAGTTCTATATGCCTATAGCCCTATAGCCCCATGTGTATATATAGATGTGTGTATATATATATATATATCCCTATAGCCCTATGGTCCTAGAGCCCTATAGCCCCATAGCCCTATGGCCCTATACCCCTATAGCCCCATAGCCACAGAGCCCCATATCCCTATAGCCCTACAGCCCTATAGCCCTATGGTCCTATAGCCCTATAGTCCTATAGCACTATAGACCTATGGCCCTATGGCCGTACAGCCTTGTAGCCCCACAGCCCTGTAGCCCCATCGCCCTATCGCCCAACAGCCCTATAGCCCTAAAAAGATTCTGATTGGTTTTTCTCCGGTATCATATACTTTTAAAACCAATGTGCGCGGCGCTAAAGCGAGAGCTTCATCTTGAACACAGCCCGCCCTGCATCCTTGCAGATGATGCAGGCTCGTCTTGAAAACCGTCCGCCCTCCATCCTCGAAGCTGTTGAAAACGAATGTGCGTGGCGCTAAGGCGAGGGCTCCATGCATGTTTGAGAACGGCTGCCCTCCATCATCGATAATGTGGCAAATGTCAAGCTTGAATCGAAACGCCCGGCCGGGCACACGGACACGTCTGGGGTTGCGACAGGGAGGAGTTACTCATGAGAAGAAGATGGAGGAGAGTGCGGGAGGAGAGCAGGGATGAGGCGGATGAGGGGGAGGAGGAGGAGGAGGAAGACAGGGAGGGTGACGAGGAGGAGGGGGAGGCGGAGGTTGAGGAGGAGGAGGAGGAGGAGGAGGAGGAGGAGGAGGAGGAGAGTGTCGGAGGAGGACGAGGAGGCGGAGGAAGAGGAAGACAGGGAGAAGTACGTGGAAGGAGGAGGATGAGCAGGAGGAGGAGGAGGAGGAGAAGGGCGAGCGGAGGAAAGGAGGACGAGAGAGAGAGAGAGAGAGAGCCTGGCCCGTAGGAGGAGATGTGGGTGGAGAAAGAAGACGGAGACAACACATAATGTTACGAAGAAGGGGACGGGTTGGAAGGAATAAAATGATATGAGGAGATGGTAAAACAAGTATATACTGAGAGAAGAAGATGATGAAGGTTGCGGGCGAGTAGGAACGAGGAGGAGGACGAGGTTACAAAGATAGGCGTGTTGTGCGATTTGAGAAAGGGAAGGACGAGGAGGCAGCGGAGGAGGAGGAGGAGGAGGAGGAGGAATATACGTAGGATGCATAACACTGAGGTGACCTCCTCCCGGCGGAGGCGGGACGATGGAAGGAGGAGGGATGATGGAGAGAGTGGGGAGGTAGAGAGAGGAGGGAAGGGGGGAAAGGAGAGGGGAAGAATATGCAATCCCTTTTTCTCCCATCTCCCGCAGGGGAAGCCGCCCTCCGCGCGGCCTGCGGACAACAATTCCACGGCCGCCTCCCTGGAGGAGACCGCCGCCCGCTGTTGTCCGCAGACGGCCGTGCTTCCCTCCCCCACCGCGTCGCTGCTCCCAACACGTCAGGAGTCTCCGTTCGGGCAGTGGGGGAAAGAATCACCTGCTGTGGAGCTGTAGGGGGCCAGATGTGAACCGTACCCCTACCTCCCACGATTTCTGAGGGGGAGGGTGGGGTTCACTTCGTTCGGGAGCTCCCGAGCAAAGTGAACCCCACCCTCCCCCTCAAAAATCGTGGGGGGTCGGGGTAGGGTTCGCATCTGGCCCCCTAAGATGGGATCGGTCCCCATGAGAGGTTTATGTGTTGTGCTCACAGTCGACTCCCGAAACCTAGCCCGTGCACGCCCTCCTGCCCGTTCCTCCAGTGTCGAATCGGCCCTTGGAGCTTCTGAGCCTGACCGCAGTGTGTGTCAGGATGGGTGGGCTGATGGACGTACATGGTGCAAGACGGCAGATCTCCCAGCGACTCTCCTTCTCGTCTCCGTCCTCGTCATCCTCGTCCTCCTCCTCCTCCTCCTCCTCCTCCTCCTCCTCCTCCTCCTCATCATCATCATCATCATCATCATCATCATCATCATCATCATCATCATCATCATCATCATCATCATGCTGCTCCTCCTCCTCCTCCTGCTCCCTCCCATCCTTCCTCCCTCTGTCGTTGCTGTTGTCGTCGAGACCTTGTGAATGTAGTCTCGCCCGTTGCGGGTGTCCGCCTTGGGCGGCGGGTTCTGCCGGGCCCACGCGTCCCAGGCGGCGTCGGCAGGACCGTTCGTCAGGGTATCCTTTCGGAGGGAGAGTAGCCACACCCCAGGGAAAAGGACGAGAATGAGGAAGGGGAGAAGGGAGTTCGGCAGGGAGGAACGGAGGAGGGAGGGGAAGCCTTCTGCTGTATACAATATATATATATATATATATATATATATATATTCACATGTAGATGGCAGAATCAATGGTTCATGCAGACGAGCAGGAATGTCAGCGGAGGCTTGCAGAGCGCCAAGCTCCATTCACCGACTGCGCCGTTTCTGAGACGTGGCGGTCCAGTCCGTTCAATGCAATTCCAGCGCGACCCCATCCATGGTCGATGTAAACTCTCGGGATGTCCCTCTTCCGTTTGGGATGGTCATGTCTGGTGATTGCAGGCGTCGGGGCGACTTCGGGCGGAAGAAGTCGTTGGCCCTCAGCTCACCCTAGATGGTCATACATTGTTTGCAGATGTGTGAGCGCACTGGAATTTGAGGTGTGGGGCGGGGCGTGATGGGATACGTATGCGGTTGGCCACTGCCTCTGTTGGCATTTTGCTAAACACCTGCTGGAAAACTCCAAGGCTTCCAAACAGGACACGATCTTGACGAGGGCCCTCGCATGCAATGGCTTCTGAATGGCTGCGGACGCCGTAGCTGCTGGCTACGCGTGTTGTTCGCCGCTGTGTCCGCTGAATGGCTGCGATTCCGACACTCTGCCACAGATCATGGAAGTGCCAGAGGGTCCAACACACTCGTGACAACATCGTGCTGACCTGGGTTCAAGAAGCATCCGCTGATTTGTCAGCAGCAGACCAGGAGACTTGTTGCTTGCGCGTTGGCGCACCCAAGCGGCAACGTTCCTGGCCCGTGCAGAAAAGTCGAGTGGCAGGACAACGAATTGCAAATCCCTGGCCACGACTCTCCTCCCCGCCCTCCCTTCGGGCCTGGGGACTTCCGTTCAATGATGGCTCGTGCAAGTGACGCGGCATCAGCGAACTCCCCACGAGCTCGCGGAATATTGCGAAGGTCTCGGGAGAAGACCACCTGCACGTCATCCTTACGGGCTCCATGCCACCAAGCTATCCCACGGAGCTACAGTCAGAGCTTTTGTTTGCAGCGGGTTTGATACCGCACCGGAACCCGACCAGCATATTGCCTGTGAGAATGTCGTTGTGCAGGGATCGTAGCCCTTCGCATTCTAACCGAACCCATTTCAGAGATTCAGGCGGTATCCTTCAATTTTGCATGCTCGGGAACCTCCCTTCGAATGTGACGAGAAAAGCATAGATTCGAGACACCCGAATGCTTGCGATACCGGATTCGTTGGGACTGGCCGACGCATAGCTTTGAATGTACGTAAGTTGGGTGCTGCTGCTCTTGTAGCGTGGCCCCGTCTCGCGGGTGGAGGCGCTGGGCGTGTTCCTCCGCCGCCTCCAAAGCCAAAGCTGGCTCTCGCCCACTCATGGAAACGCACGTGTGCACTCTGGCGCAATGAAGTTTGTTTGGGGGGCTCCACTGCTGAACGAGGGAAAATGTCATCCCAAAGTGTGTGCTCTGGACGTGCTAAGTTTGACCAAAGAACATTGTGTGTCCGAACCCCATGTTTCTCGCCTTTCCTGGCACCTTCTTTTCTCTCTCTTGCACGCGTTGTTCACGCATCGCTCGGGCTGGTCTCAATAAACCCTACCTGGAACTATACATTTCATTCGTTTGAAGAATGGCATGCGCAGAAATAAACGTGTCGTGGTCAAGTTAACGGAAAAATGTATTTCGAATATCGGAGGTGTGTTGCTTCAACCTTGCAGCTGTGACCTTAGATGCTGTCCCCAATGGTAACAAAAGGGGAGGGGTGCAGGTCAAGGATGGGGAGAAGAGGGATGATAACGAGACATGGTAGGATGGAGAGGGAGGATATTGAGCGGGACGGAGTGCGGGGGGGTGGGATGGAGGGGGCGACGTAGGGGACTAATCTGATTGTGGTGGTCTTCATGATGCGAAATATGAGGTGGCGGGATACGGGATGGATGACATGAGGACGAAAGAAAGCAGGAAACAGAAGGGATGTCAGAAGAGGGGGAGGACTACTTCTTCCCCGCCGCAGGCGCACTCGCACTAGTCCGGAACCAGTAGCCCGCGAACAAGGCGAAGGAAGGGAGAGAGGGAGAGACGCAGCACCAGGACAGGAGAGAGAGGAAAGGCAGTGGCCGCTGATACCCGGCAGCGTGGCACGCCCCACCACCCGCGCGAGGACACCGAGGTACCTCGCGCGCGCGCGGGCTTCGACGCAGCCGCGCCCGCCAACGGAAACGGCGGGAGGCCACGACCGAGCGCGGGGGGCACGCTCGACGCAGGGGGAGGACAGAGCCCATGCCCCGCAAGGGGTGGCGCTTGCGCTCGCCGCTGCCACCTGTCTCTGGGGTGGGGGGCCCACGGGAGGACCCCGCTGCAATGCTGATCCAGTCCCTGGCCATCGCTCGGACGTCCATTCCCTGTGTTTTTTTCGGTTTCGTGCGTGGTTTTTTCGCCAAATGATCTCGGATGCTCCTCGATGGTCCTCGCCGAAGGAAAAATGCACACGTCCGAGCGATGCCGAGGTCCCCTCAGAGAAGCATGCAAGGCGCCTGCCTCGTCGACAGGCGCGGGGTGGGTGCGGCGGCGGGGCAGGGGGGCGGCCGCACTGCGGGGAGCAACGCGGGGGACACAAGAGCGAAGACAAAAACGAGGCCCCCAACGGCGCCGTACCCCGCAGTCGAGGGAGGCAGCGGCACGGGCAGGGAAGGAGTAACACCGGGGACCAATACCCAGATGACCATGAGACGTTGCATCGCCGAGCGCAACGCACCCAGGGACAAACTCAGAACAAACACGCACAACGACGCAAAAACAAATACTGAACGCGGCCCACCCGGCCCCAAGGGCCAGAGAGCAGGGGCACTGATGCAAGTACCCGCAGGAGAGGCAAGGACCAGGGCCCAGGACACAGAGAGGAGGCCAAAACGAGGAACAAGGAGAAAAACGCCGCCGAGGGCCAGGGGGCGCGACACAGACACAAAGAATTCCTAAGGACGGTGGGCAGTCGGAGCGGCCGTCGCCACCGTCTCTCCCCGAGGGCCCGCCCTGGCCACGGCGTGCCTGACGCATCGCCTGCCATGGCGAAAGGGAAACAGTGATCCCAAGAAAGCAGCCGAATTCAAGAGAGGTGCATAGCGGGACCGGGGCCCCCAAATAAAAAGGAGCCATGTTAACCTTGGGATCCCGTGGTCAGGAGCGGTTGCAAACAAAAAATGGCGAATTTCTTTCTCATCGTCCGCGCACTCTTGGTTGCGCTGCTTCCTTTCTGTCTACTACCGAGGAAGAGAACAAGAACGGATGAGGGGGCGCGCAGAGGAGGAGGAGGAGGAGGAGGAGGAGGAGGAGGAGGAGGAGGAGGAGGAGGAGGAGGAGGAGGAGGGGCCGACGACGATGACAGTCTCGCCGCTGATTCCCAAACAGCGCTTGCCCTACGCCGCGCAGACACCGTCTGGGGTCCACGCAACACCCCGATCCCCCAAAGAGTGCTTAGACTTACGTCGGCCCTGTTTGGGGTTCCATATGTCGCCCTGTTTCTTTTCTCCCAGGGCTCTCGTTGGGACAGCCACCTTCGCGATCTGCCCAGGCCTAACTCCCGACGCGCCCCCGCGCGCAAGGCTGGGCATCCATAGCTCCGCACTACCGCGTCGCACTGCCCCAACGCGAGCCCCTTACAGGGCGACGCTAGGATTCGAGGATGCGGAGCTGCTTGGCCCAGAGGAATCTCGTGCATCCTGGACAAGCGACGCTTCCTCCTCTTCGCCGGAGGATTCTGGCCGAGACCACTGCGGGGCGCCACCAGAGGTTTTACCCCAGCAGTGCTCGCACCTGACGAACCGATCTTCGCAATCGCCAGGTGCCCCCAGGATCGCTTGTACTGGCGCCCGTGACCGTGCCCACCAGAATGAGCAGGGCGTGCGGCGCGGCTCTTCCTCGCACTGGCAGTACAACATCATGCTGCTCTTGTTGAGCACCATGCTATGTTCTGCCGTGGCGTGGCTCGCTAGCAACGTCTGTCTTACCGCAGGCGCCGCAGCCGCCTTCGAAGGTGCACGCGATAACGGAGTTTCGAAATCCCGCGCCGGCGCAAACCCATCTCGGACACGCCCCGCGATGCCACACTTGAGAAGCAACTCAAGTATACACAGCGCGCGCGATCGTAGCGCGCGGGCGTTCCCGAACTGGGGCCCCGCCTGTCCAATGTCCAGCGCTCCTCCATTGGGAAGCGAAGCTGGCCGGCAAGCGCCGGGAAGAAAAATCCCAGGCTGTGCAACGACCACTCGGCGGCGTTTTCCGCGCCGCCGAACGCGCGCAGCACCCGCCTCATGGCACGCAGCGCGCCAGAATATTTCTCCAGGCGCATTGGGCTCAGAACGACTATCTTGCCAGACTCCACCGCCATCGCTGGGGCGATGAAGTCCAATGCAGCAAGCTCCGCGCAACGGGCCGCGGCGCCGTGAGACTACCCGCCCAAGTCGCGCCCGCGCCAATCCGCCCGCGGGGCGGCCCGCGGAATTTTGCCGACCTTCTCTTTTGTGCTCCGCGTTTCTGCGCACGGCGCGCCCCGCGACACGCGACAGACTGCAGGGCGTGAACCTCCGTGGGTCTGCCCAACGAAGACAACCGAACGTCGGCGCCATCGCAAACCCAACAGCAATTGCACTTGTTGCGTCGCGCGCCCCCACTGCCAAAAAGAAGCCGCTCAGAAGGCGATCGACGATTGCCCTCGTCAGCGGATTCGCCTGCTGCCGCTGCCCCCCTGTCTGCTCGCTTGACATGCATCTCTGGGTCTCGACCAGCGGGCCCTCTAACTGGCACGCCTCTTTCGCCCGCGCCAGCGACGCAAAGGACATTTCTGGCACTGACGACCCTCTACCGCTGGCGCCGCGGAGAAACAGCGCGACACCAGTTGCATGCAACGACCGCGGCTGAAGCCCGTCCGCCTCTGCCCATTTCCTGCGCCCGCG